CAGATTGATTGATTTGATTGGTCATTTGGAGTTTTTACCAACTCAATCAACTCAATCTAAGCTTTTCAAAATAGCTAATCAAATCAACTTGCGAAGGTCAGATTGATTGATTTGATTAGTTAGATTGATTTATTATTAACGAGTTGTAAGGCGAGTAGTGTCGTATTAAGAGAAGGTTTTTGGTGTTGAAGATAGTTATCTTGGACCCCTATCTCGCTTAGCTTGTGATCCCTGTCGGCCGGGCAAGCCAGTCTCTATGCATTCACTTCTCACCAGCTAGCTCTCCTCTTATAGGACTAGCTCCTTCTGCTTAGGGCAGACTCCGCAACAATCAATCGGATCGGCATGATTGATTCCTATCTAGGTTAAAGGCTGCCTAATGAAGTAATTCTTTAACCTATATAGGAATCAATCATGTCAATCGATTGATTGTTGCGGAGTCTGGCTGAAGTGGCTGCAGAGTCCTTCCGCCCCTGCCACATACGCAGGAATGCCCGGTGGTTATTGTCAAGCCAGCCGTCGCGATAGTGGACACCGTCACGGGCAGTGACATGGGTGTCAGGCACCTTCCAGAGCGCTGAGAGGTGGTGTTTGTAGTGCGGGTGTAGTATTGTAGCAGTGTAGTAGACAGGCGCGTTATCGAATTTTGCGTAGTACTTAGCAAGCTTACAATGTGCAAGGTTAACGTTTGTAATAAGATGATCTTCAGGCGCATCTAGATCTTCGTAATTTACATCCTTAAGGCGGTCTTTGAGAGCCTTAAGCTGGTTAAGAAGCTACTCAAACGTTACTAGAACTTCCTATATAGCGCCGTGTCGGCCGTGTCGGCCGCGACCTTTAAGTAGCCGTGTAGCTTCGGCAAATGGCTCAAGGAGTCGAATGTATTCTGTTATTGTCGCCTAGTCCTTGCCGCTTAGACCCCCTTCGCGTATATATAACCGTGGCTGGGCAGCAGGGAGCTGCTCACGATTCTTCCGGCGTCGTGAGGTTGCTGTTGCAGCACTATGCTCCTCAAGTTTACACTCAATATAGCCATCGATAGGGCCGTGTAGCTCAGCTGCACGGACAAACGTGTTGAAATAGCTATTCCAGCGTGTCTTAACAGGCTTCACAAGCTGCCGGATGTGGGGTGTAACACCTAGAGACTCTGCCTCCTCGCACTGTAGGCGCTCTAGTAGTTGTCGAGTTTGAGGCGTACAGATAGACGCAATCACGTCAAAGAGGACGCCAACAGGACCGTATTTGCGCCACTCATCCATGTACTTCTCCTCTTCCTCAAGGTGTGCGGCTTCATTCTCGTACGCGCTACGGTCTTTGCCCCAAATTACTAATTGTGCGCTTAGGTTGAGTATATGGCAGCAGCACCGCAGCCGCCGCTCGCTTGCGATAAAGCCAAACTCCTCTGCTAAGGACTCAACTGCAGTATCATTGTTACTTGCGTTGTCAAGCACAAAGTACCCAACCCTCGCGTTGTCAACGCCAAATAGCCGAAATATTGTTGTTGCTGCAGCGGCAATATTATTGCCAGTGTGCGCCCCGTGTAGCTCAGGCAACCCAAGCAGGTGGTCAACTAGCTTGCCCTCGCTGTTAAGGTAATGTACGCAGAGGCCAGTAAAAGCATACTGCCCACCAGTTGAAGTCCAGTTGTCGAATGACACGTGTATAAGCGACCGGGCTTCGCGAAGGTAGTTGGCAACAGCTAGTATGTATGTATTGTACTCAGTAATAATATGATCGTGGAGCGTTTAGTGGCTACGCCAAAGGAGAGCTTCGGCTAGCGGGCTCACGGCCGCAATCATGGCTCGAAACTGCGGCGTTTCTATTACGCGAAGGCTCTGGTTGTCCGCGACTACCCAGTCCTTCAGCGCGTCCTGAAATCGAGAGGTTGAAAAGCTTGCTGCTATCTCGTTTGCTACCTCTTGCGATACTTCTATCCCTTTAGACCTCATAATATATACTTGGGACTTTGCGAGCGCGCCCATAATATTGCCCTCCCGGCTAGCAATTGGTACAGGTCCGTTAGGTCCGTGTGAGTGTCCAGGCTTGTTGCTTGAGAGGTGTCGGCCGGCGTTTGTAGTGCTGTCAGCCTCGTAGCAAGCCTCCTGCTTCCGTCGTTGATGGCAGTACCGGCAAAGCCAGTAGTTTTTCTTGTACTTGCGGTGCCAGACGGCCCAGCCGTGGCGGTAGATCCAGCTTTTTGGCCCACCGCGACTATTACGCTCAACCTGGCGCCGCTCAAGATACGGCACACGCTTAAAATCAAGCCCGTCGTAATTGTCGTCGTCGTCGTCGTCGTCGCCGTCGTTGGGGAAGTCCGCCTGTACTGCCAAGGGCTCATCAGCCTGGGCCTCGCTCGCAGTATCGCCAACAGTAGGCGCGTTTGATAGCGATGGTAGAGGAGAATTGCGCTTGTCGCATTCTACAAGGCGGCGAAGGCCTGAATTAGAGGGAGTAGACATGAAGTACACCAAGAAGTATTATGGCAACAGTAGTCTAGCGTCGTGTGTATAGCAGACGCGACGCGACGCGACGCGAAAGGCTTACTAGGTGCGCACCGGGTAGCGCATTTCCGCAAACTCTAATTAGCTCAAAGCTAGATGCTTTAACTTATATAGGATTAGTGTCTTTATATCTAGGACTAGCGCGGCTTCGAAGCCGCACTAAATGTGGCTTTCACAACTCTAAAATACTGCTTTAAAAACAGCTAACGTCAGTCTAACGTCAGTCAGTTCAGTCAGTCTGGAGGCTTCTGAACTGACTGGACTGACGTCCAGCTGCCCCAAGAACTGACTGACTGAACTGAGTCTTGGCAGTCAGTTCAGTCAGTTCGAACTGAGTTACCTGACTGATAGCAAGTCTGCGTTGCACACTTTGCTAACGCCTCTGGAGTGATACAAGATCTCCCCATCGCCCTCCCACATCTCGCAGGCTCTCATACTGGTGATGCTATCGCTGATACAATTAAAAAGACGCTCCAAGAATACAGTATTGGGAGTGATAAACTCGGCTACTTCGTCCTCGACAATGCTGCAAACAACGATACTGCAGTCTCCTCGCTCGCCCACGCGTACGACTTCAACGCTGCTCACCGACGCCTCCGCTGCGGCCCTCACACGCTTAACCTTATTGGCCAGGCAATTATCTTTGGCAGCAATCAAGAGGCGTACAACAACAACAACGACGAGCAGCTCCAAACAGAGGAGGTGTACATGCAGGAGTGGCGTCAAGAAGGGCCCTTAGGTGTACTTATCGACGTTATCAACCATATAAAAACGCCTCAACAACACGAAATTTTCCGAAGCTTCCAAACCGCCGCCAACGCCGAGTTGCCAGCTAGAGAGCGCCTCCACGTACTTGAGCCTGTGAAGCCTGTTGTTACACGCTGGAACTCTTACTACGCTGCCTTCAAACGCGCAACTCAACTCCAGGCAGCATACAACTCTTACGCTGAGCACTACATTAACGCACTCTCCCTTGAAGATCGCCGCGCTTGTCAACGTGGCAATAAACTCCCTGAAGCACCTAGTTGGATGAGATCAACAGGACTTACAGCTGCTGATTGGGCGGTGATAACAGAGTATCAGGACTGCCTAGAGCCGCTTAAGCTTGCTACGGAGAAGCTTGAGGGTCGCGGAAAGGCAGGCAAATACGGCGCTATATATGAGACTATTCCTGTATTTGAATACGTACTTGGCGCGCTCGAAGCCCGTACGCGCTCGTACGAGCAAGTTGACTTCAACCCACCTGATGCGCCTGAAGATCACCTCTTTGTTAACCTCCGCGCCGCCTGGAGTAAGGCCAACGATTACTACAACAAGCTCGATCGATCGCCAGCATACTACGCTGCTACCTGCCTCCATCCATACTACAAATACTACTGCGAGAACAGCTGGGTGGATAAGCCAGAATGGCTAACATCAGCCAACGCTGGCTTCCTGCAGCTCTGGCAGTCGTATAAGCCTCAACGTACACGTCCTCTATCTCAAACAACTGCAAAACCAAGGCATAGAGGAATAGATGATGTGATTGGCGCCCTCGTACGGCGCAACAAGGCTCAGGTAGAGGCTGCCCACGACGATGAGTACGAGCGCTGGAGAACTCAAGAGCCAGAGTGGACAAGCGAACAGTATCTTAGCGATGGCCACCCAGTCAAGTACTGGATTCAATTACGCTCAAAATACCCGTGTTTGAGCCAGTTTGCGATTGATATACTCACGATACCAGCATCTAGTTGCGACTGCGAGAGGCTCTTTAGCGAGCTTGGCGATTTACTTGAGCCGCGCCGGCGAGCTCTTGGCAGCGAGTTACTTGCTGCCCTTCAGCTTGTACGTTCGTGGAGACGAGCTGGCTTTGACGGCTTGTACAACAACGGTGATGATGAAGATAAGTGGAGTGACGTCAAAGATGAGGAGATTGTACAACAGTACGATATAGAAGGCTGGAGTACAACACCATAACCCCCTGTATACTACTTCTTAGCATCAATCAGCCAATCAACCAATCAATCGCAATCAATCTGCTCAAAAACCCTAACAATCAATCCGCAATCAATCAGCAGCGTCGCCGCAAGCTAATCAAACCAATCGACAACCTTAAGATTGATTGATTTGATTGTTGCGGAGTCTGATAATAATACCATATCGAACAAAAGGAACGCCAACGCGAGACCCAAGTATCTAAATCCTTGGAACTGGAGTTCATGAGAGTCGGTCTGAATCGTAACAATTCCGATCCCGATCGCTGATGATGTCCCTACAGCTGGTCCCACAGTCATCCTCCCAATCATCATACGAGTCGAGGGATTTATCAAAGACCTCTTCGAAGTCATCGCGAGGAGAAGGCACATAATTCCACTGATCCAATACCATATTCTTCTCTTCGCTCCACGGAGCCAACACCTTATTTGGATCGTGAGGCTGGTAGTCTGATCTCTGGGACATCGCAACGCGCTTCTCAGATTCTTCGTCGACTAGCTTTCCCCACTGATAGGCCCGCTGCCCTCAAAACCTATTCAGCAACTCAGGGAGATACTGGACGTCACCGACACAGTAAGATATGATATCCTCTGGGATCTGACGCTGGTTGAACACATCATACGAGCCGCCATGTCCAGCCTTGAACAATCGCTCGCCTTTCTCCTTCGCCCGCTTCCAGTTAGCTAGTCCGCCGCTACCGTAGGATATGGGTTGATATGTCTCAACACATTTGGCCAGGCCGCTTAAAAACTTTAGAGATACTGTGGTCTTCCACGTTGCACTCTCCATGAGCTGGACGTCCCCGACCCCCTGCAGCGCCACGTCGAAATGC